GTGATGCAAATTTCTTCTCCTCAGTTCCTCCACGGTGAGTGCAGGGACAAACATTCAGGTTCTGTGTAAGGCCACTCCTGGTCTTCAGTACAAGATATCACCACTGACAGAAGAGTACAGGACATTAGCCTCTGCCCTCTGGACTCCTTCCTCAGAACTGGTCACTGTAGCACTACTCAAGAGAAAGCTCCTTCAGCTTCCTGCCATATAGCACCATCATCACAAGCTGCCTCCAAACATGACCTGCATTTTTTGTCATTCAAAGATAAGGCTGATGTACCACAGCAGGAGATCTAAGGATATCTTGGACCTGGTAATGATCTGCGTATTCCCTTAATAATCCCTCTCCACCCCTGAGGATACAATCAGTTTGCCTATTCCGGGTGACAGGACATACAACGTCACTCCAAGTGAGATATCGTGGTTATCAGTGATGCTACTGTGAACCAACTTTCTTTGACAAAATCTGGTTTTCTGTAGCATCTGTTGATTCTAGAAAAATGAATAAAAATGTCTGGACACAATTTGCTTTCAGGGTAGCAGCTGCTAACACAATATGGAAAGCCTGTGAGACTGGAGTTCATCAACAGTCTCCTACTTCTCAGCAGCTCTCAAGATTGCTTGCTGTCAGGCTCTACTGGCCTGACAGGATGGCTATAAATACTATGCTTGTAACTTCTCAGGACAGCAAGAACAGATGTCTCTTCCTGGACGGAAAACATTCCGCCCTTCATGTAGATATTATCATTCAATGTCAATTAGCAGAGTGACACAATATCCTCCTCTTTGTCAAGAGTCATTTGCTATCCTGCACCGTGGTCTACTTGATGCCATATTTTCTCTATGCACCACACCTTCTGTGCTCATTAGCACGAAGTCTGGACAAATAAAGGTTACAAAGTAGATTACTTTAGAGGGCACCTTGCAAGATGGAGGTTACCTCAAAAAAATAACATAACTACCTTGGATATGAACAAGGAGTTTTAGGGAGTCTGCTTCAGAATACATGTACCTCCAAGCTCATTAGCAAACACATTTCTAATCTCTTGAATGAACACTTTTCCTTCATGATCTGTTGGTTTTTAGGATCTTTCACAAGATAAGGCAGGTACTAAGACTCTTTGCTGTAGCATGGCTGTGGCAATTTAGATACATGGACCTCCTCAGCGCAGCGATGCAGTACCAAGAAGGTTGCCCATGTTCCTGGGCATTCTTATGCAGAGCTCTGGAAGACTGGCCTATTTGAGACCAACCTCCATATCTGTGGTTGATCACTAAACCACCCTTATTCAACCCTGACTACAAACAGCAAGAAAACTTTGACTAAGAGTTGCTAGGCAAACTAAGTCTTCCTCATGATGTTCAGAAAGAGCCCTAGACTTCTGGAAATCTCAGTTCTCATTCTCACAATTCTCTACGGGAATACATAGGTAGACACCTATCTATTTGTTCAGTCACCCTGTAATAACCTTGTCTCACTATTTCTCCATAATGAAAAATTCCTTTATCTATCTATCTATCTATCTAAACATATATAATATGTCATAGGGTGGCAAAAAAAGTTTCGTTTTTTGTCCTTTAGAGATCTAGTTAATATTGCCCCCTGGAAAAGTAGCCTACCCGCCCAAGATGACTATGAACTTAGTGTTCATAGTCTTGGTGAATTAGTCATATAAGCTGACAGCAACCCATTCTGCTCTCATGAGGCCCCACCTGGAGTACTGCGTCCAGTTCTGGGGTCCCCAACTCAAGAAGGACATGGACCTACTGGACTGAATCCAGAGGAGGCCACGAGGATGATGAGAGGGCTGGAGCACCTCTCCTATGAGGACAGGATGAGAGAGTTGAGGCTCTTCAGCCTGGAGAAGACTCCAGGGAGACCTCCTAGCAGCCTTCAATACCTGAAGGGGCTACAGGAAGGCTGGGGAGGGACTTTTTACAAGGGCAGGTAGTGATAGAACAAGGGGAAATGGCTTTAAGCTGGAAGAGGGTGGGTTTAGATGAGATATTAGGAAGAAATTCTTTCCTGTGAGGGTGGTCAGACACTGTCCCAGGTTGCCCAGAGAAGCTGTGGCTGCTCCTCCCTGGAAGTGTTGAAGGCCAGGTTGGATGAGGCTTTGAGCAACCTGATCTAGTGGAAGGTGTCCCTGCTGATGGCAGGGGGATTGGAACTAGATGATCTTTAAGGTCCCTTCCAATCCAGACCATTCTATGATTCTTTGCCTTTCCACCAGGCTTTCTGGTGGTTTTCACCTTTTGTAGGAAAACAGGGAAATTCAAGTGCTAACTAATGATGTTTCTTACAATTGTTGTCTTTTCAATTAGACTCTTCCTCCAGATGATTCCAATGTGCGTCCGGAAAGTTGAATATAAGAAATCATTTTTTCTTGAAGTCTCACTCTTCTTATGTGAATACTTCACTTTCACCTCACTTTAACCTGTCTGTTTCCACAGCTATTTGTGTCATCATCCAGCAGCCAGTAACAAGTCAAAGAGCAAATCTTTGCCAGGACCTAGAGAGAAGACTGCTATGCTATGCTGAACCTGTAGGTAGTGATGAAACTAGACCACTAGAACTCTAGTTGCACTAACAGCCTCATTAGAGAGGCACCTTGTTCACAGCACTAGCAAAGTCACTTTGAACTTAATTCCTAAATTTACACAGCACTAAGTCATCACAGAGGCATCCAGAAATGATGCTGTACTAGGCAGAACAATCCTGTATTCACCTACAATTAATGACTCAACTAGGTAACCAGCAAACCATGTTTAGGGATATTACTTGGAATCACTCAAAAAAAAACCAAAAAACACATCATTGTTATGGCAGAAACCTACACAATATTTGCTGATGCCATAGCTTAAATGGCATTCAACTGACCATCAAACCCAAACCACAAATAAAGACAGACTGAAATAAAAGCTCTATCACTATAGGAAATAATTAAATTTCTCCTTTCCTCTTCCCTTTCTTCAAAAAACTCTTTAGCTCTTGGGAGCTCTTTAACTCTCTAAAACAACACTGAATCAAGGGATATATAACACCCACTATCCTATTTGCACAGCAGACCTAAGGGCAAGGCTGGGTATACAAGTGCCTTGCAATAAGACCTTCTGATTTTCAATACCAGCAGTTTAAGTATACCCTCAGCATGGATGTATATGTATATATATACATCTCAAAAATGGCCAGTTAGTGATAAATAGCTTTCTTTAACATCGGTGTTCATTAGAATGAGACATAAGAACAGAAACTGATATTACCATTAGAAATGTATTTCATTCCTATCATCACAGTGATTTTCAAGTTGTACCTACCAAAAGGAAAACTTTGCTGTCAGGCTTGACTTTGTGTTTCTCCATGTATTTTATGAGGCTACTATTGGCATATCTGAAAAATACAGTTAAACAAAGACATTTCTGAAACAATACAGCATTAAGAATATGGAACTGTACCAAGTGATCACAAAAACATTTACCAGCCCTGAACAAGCAAACTATAAAAACAACTGCTATCAGAAAACATGTCAGATATTTATCTAGCAGTTGCACACAAAGTGTGCTTTTCACTAACAGGAATAGTATCAACTGTGTACAGATTATTTCCACGGAACATGCAACTTTTCTAGTGTATGGATAAGCTGTTGACATGGGCATATGACAGAGAAACTCAACTTGAAGTCTATACTCTGGTTTTCTAAAGCAATTCTGCCACAGAAAGTGTACAACAGTTCATAACAGCACAAGAGCTAAACTATTAAGGTTGTTTCCAGTTGCAGTTTGGCAGAGCAGTTAGTTTACCTGAATCCATGTCCTCTGCCTAACAACAGATTCTGTGTTGCTCCTTACACCCTGTGATCTATCACCACCACTTGACTAATTTAGCCAGAGCACCTGGAAACACTGAAAGTGGAAAATTCTCAGATCCCAGATCAGCTTTGCATCACAACCTATTACACACTACCTTCCACACAAATTTCTGTCCACTACTTGGCTGTCTCCACATAGCTGCTGGTCAAAAGGACCAGGGAGGTGCTTCCCTATTCTTTCTCACACAAAGTGAATGAAGTTATCTTGAACAGCTAATAGAAGTGGTTTAAGCAAGCTCACATGTCTGTGCCTGCCATAGATTAAATGGCACTTACGACAACTCCTTCTAGAGAAATGAGGAGGCCACTCAGCTGATGCTTTTAACAAGCAGCTGAGGGAGAGAACATCATTCAAACAAAACAGCCAGTTCAAACAGGACAGCTGTCATAGTGCTAGAACCCAAACACTCCAAAAGCCCCTCCCCAAAAAGTCAAGCGGATAGGAGCCAACTTCTGCCTAGCTGCGACATTCACTGAACTGTTGTTGTATTATCATCACTCACGTTGTTCTCCTGAAATCTTTCTGAAGAGTTGGATATTCTGGCATCTTCCTTATGTCTTCCCAATCTTTATCTTTGGTGGAGGGGAAAAAGGAGAAGCATTTACAATTCTGAAAGTGTAGGTTAAATAATACACAAGAAGAAATAACAAGAGCAGTTGTTTGACTGTCTATTGGCCAGCGCTATTGTTCCATAATTATCAGCATTTACAAATCCATCAAACTGACAGCTTCTTTGTACCTATATGAACAACTAGTCATTTCCTTCAGAAAAAAAAGAAAAAAATCAACTCAGTAGCATTACATCTGACATTTTAATGAAAATAAATTACCTGCAGGGAATCCCATTACACTGAAAATGCGATCTAGCTGATCATGATGAAAAGGATTACTTGTTTTGATGTCCTCCTGACGACAGTGAAATATAGGTTCCGAAGTCAATAGTTCAGCAAATATGCAACCAATTGCCCAAATATCTAAGAAAGAAGGAGGGTAATTCATGCAAATTTACTGCACTTCATCACTCTGTTTTTTGTTTCTGCACAATTTCTCAACAGCCTGTATAACCACAGTAAGATAAAATGCCTCACAATATAATTACATTCAGTACTTTAAAAATAATGCATTAATAAAATACATAAAAACCGGTAAAATCTAGAGATTTTTTTTTTCAGTCAAAATAAAGAGTCTCCAAATTCTATTCCAAGCTGTACACTGGTAGTCCAGCACTTAACGTATCATTGTTATGGTAGAAACCTACACAATATTTGCTGATGCCATAGCTTAAATGGCATTCAACTGACCATCAAACCCAAACCACAAATAAAGACAGACTGAAATAAAAGCTCTATCACATATTTCAGAACAATTCCAAACAGATAATTGATAGCCAAATAAATACTAAGAAGGAAAAGACTAATAACTCATACGTTAAGCCAAATAGTGCAAGCTAGTTAAAATGGAGAAACAAGACTGTAATTTTAATCAAGAGTAGAAGAACAATTATCAAACTTTTAAAAAAAAAATATTACTTGACAATTGACTCCCACTGGAACAATACTAGAACTGCTCATCTACATCTCATGTACATACAGAAAACAACAGCATGATAGACTGATGTTTTAATGAAAGTAAATAAGAACCTCTGTTTCATAAATTTCTCATTAACCTGCTTTTCAAAATTACACCTCTTGTGGATAAGAACATTAGTTTCATTTATAGGAGAAGAAATTTCTAGATTGCATGTATTCATTCTAGTTACTAGTATCACCATCCATCTTGGTGTTCTGTATGACTCAAATGCTTTATTATGCATCTTAAAATGAAAGTTTGAATTTGTCAGTGAGAAGAAAGTTATAGCAGAAGACACACATATTTGCTACATTGACAAACATGTCTGGGATATAACTCTGGAAAAAGTTGTTAAGATCAGATGAATAACGAGTATAGATTGCTGAATACAAGAGCATGGAGACTTGCTTAGTAGTTGACGTTAAACTAGATGACCCTTGGAAACCTTTTAGATTTTGTTAAATTTAACAGCATAAATACTGAAAACAATTCACCCCAAATTTTTAGGTCTAAGAGATAAAAAACTACCTCACTGGAGTTTGGTCTATTAGATTCTGACTAAAGAGAACACACCAAGAGAAGTCTCTGGCTTGTTGCAACTAATCTGAGACTCAAAACCCCACCTGCTGGCACTGATGGTGCTTGGCCCATGCTGCCTGTGACACACATGGTCTCCCGAAGAAAGAAAAAAGCACTGCTCTCTTTATGTGGGGAATGAAGAAAGAGCCATCACACTCTCTTTGCCAAAACACGTCAGTTCCATTTCCACCATGTTACAGGTGTGGAGCTTGGGGTGTCCCAATTTATAAGGCTTTCACCCTCCTTCTTTTACAGGAAAGTCTGATAACATTTCGGTCTGACTTTACAGTTTCGACAGGGTATAACTTGCTCTGTGTATTACATCACTTTCTCAGGGTTTTATCTTCCTTTTTCTTATTAGCCTTATCTGCATGAAAAAAAGATCTTTAGGACTTGAGATTTTATCTGCCCAAGCAGCTAATGCAGTGTATTAATCACAACTCCTGCCTGAGTAGCAGGCATAAATTATCTACTCCAGAATGGAAATTGCTTATTATTTGAAGAATAGCATCTTCATTTAACAGCATCTATTCATTCATTTTCATACTAGACAGCAAATCCTTTTGGAGATGGTTTACCTAGAGGCCAAAGGAGTTGCAGCTCTCTTGGTTTTCATGGCTTTCCGCAGGGCTCACTGTCCATCACATAGCAAGGGAGAGGCTGGGCCACTGCTTGTTATTCTATTCATTACTGCTCTACCCAGACTTACCTTTTCCTTTTAAAGAAAAACAAAATCTAGTATTCTTGTTGACAGCAAAGTTGAACTGGGAAATCTCCCTGATGATTGATCTCTACCTGAACATAAGGAAGAACTTCTTTACCGTCAGGGTGACTAAGCACTGGAACAGGTTGCCCAGAGAGGTTGTGGAATCTCCCTCCCTGGAGATATTCAAAAACTGTCTGGACAAAATCCTGGTTTATGTGCTCTAAGAGTGGTTGGACTAGATGACCTTCAGAGGTCCCTTCCAACCTCAACCATTCTGTGATTCTGTGACACAGCAAACTTCAAAACTCTGTTCCTCCTTCATCAGCTGAACTGTGTGACAGCAGAGCCACTCCCTTCCTGACTCAGTGATTAATACATACAGCACATTTTAAATCCTTTGAGAATTCAGAAAGACAGACGTTGTACCAAGTGGAAGTTACATCTGAATAACACTGGTAACTCCCAAGCTAGTGGGGTATTTTCTATGCGATGGCATCACTGGACAAGTCAAGCATAAGAACATTTTAGCTCTGATCAGTCATTATAGTCTCTAGCAGTTCATAGTGCTGGGTTTCAACGCTTTCGGTCTCTTGCCAGATAATCTTCAGCTTCAAAGAACTAAAATAAGATAACCCAAAATACTTAGTACAGAAAACTTGAAGCTTTAATTTCCATCAATGAAGATTAAACAGCTGGAAAAGGCCTTATAGCCATGCAGCTCGAGCAGGTCAGGGTCTTCCCTTCATTAATTTAACTTCAATGTAACCTGATCTCAAACACATCCTTGGCACATAGTGAAATCATTCTCATAGTTAATGATATTCCGCCAAGTTTGGCTAGTCCCTGGGGGTTTTTTGTTGTTTGTTTGTTTTCTTTTAAATAACATTCATAATTTACAGTAATTATTTACCACATGTGGCATTTTTCTAGAAGGAATGCCTCGTTAAATTCTGGCAAGTTGAAAAGCTTCATCAATACAAGCAGTCCTAACAGGTATTTATCTCCTACATGGTTCATATTAGTCAATCAAATACAAACTTCAGCTCTAACTATGGAAAAAAGGGTCAATAATTACCAATTTCCCTAACCAGTGCCATTTCACATGTTTTCAGTTTGTGGTCCCTAAAAAGGATTAATGATTATTACATCTATTCCAAATCTATCCCAAATAAGAAGTACCACCCCCCAGAAGTGGGCATTTACAGGGGCAAAGCTTAGACCATATCAGCAGTATTTTTCAACTACAGTGCATTATTAATTTAATGTACATCTGCCTCTAGCACAAGAGGAACTTCTTATAATACTGTATAACAACTTCATTACAAATAACATTTCTGTTTAAAAGTAACCACCAAAAATAACAGGCAAACTACAGACACTATCCATTTTAACTTGTTATGTACCAGAACCCCTGAAAATAGGGCCATATAGGCACTACAATATTGCACTGGATATTAAATGTTTTCCCATCTGATGTCGCAGGAGGATCTTAATAAATATACCAGAGTAATACAGCCATTCCTATAATGTTTTTGGGGTTTTTTGTGGTTTGCTTTTTTTTTTTTTTTACTCTGCCCTCCAAGACTTCCAGACTTGCCACTTTCCTCAAGTTTACACAGAATCTGAATTCAAGCCAGGTTTGCTACCTGACTCTGGGAAGAGGGGTGGGAGTGAAGGCCTTTGTAGCATACTTCTTCCTCTAGACTCCTCACCAAACAGTTTACTCAGGTCCCATTCAAACCTACTCACCAATGAAATATCTTTCCACTGTAACAATATTTCTCAAGTACTACATAATAATTTCACAAAAGGAAAAAATAGCCTTTTAAAGATTGTCACTGGTGGTTGGTAAACAACCTTTCCATATATATGCCTGAGGGCACAGATTACTGGAATATTTGCATGGCTGTCTATGTCCCAGTTTTAAAATCTGTTACACTAATAGCTTTATAGGTCAGCTACTAAAGCTGAGAAAATCCTGCATGTCCCGCTCTACTTTAGCACTGTAGCCAAGGAGCAAGTACAAAAGGATGCTGACACAGCTGTTTTAATGATAGGGCTGATTAAGCAGACAAATGCTCATGTATTCTTTCCTTTCTATGGCACAATAATCTTATTTCTGCATTTGTTCCAATATTTTGGAAACATTCTTTAAGAATATTATGGCAACTTAAGACAATAAGAAAATTTATTGAGCAATAGCCTTGATTCTCAAAATGAAACATCTTTTCCCATGCATATTAACTACAATGTTTCAGTGAAGACAGGACAGAGTCCAAGACGAAATAGATTATGCTTCTTAACTATATCCAAGAAAAGAAATACATAAACAAGCTCTTTGCCTCATATAATTTTTATATAAAATTCTGTTGTTAAAGAAAGTAAGTAAAGAATGGGAAAACATATATTCAGCTGCAATCGATCAGTGGAATTCATCATTAGTGAATTTAGCCTAGCAGCTTCAACCAACCTGCTTTTTTGTTTGTTTGTTTTGGTTAGAACTGCAAAGTCCAGACTCTAGGACAGGTGTGAATGTGGTAAACAAAGCAAACAGTGGATGGAAACCAGAATACAGCTTCTCTATGTCCACCAAGGGGTAATGCAACAAGCAGGGTAACCAAAAACTAGTTAGCATGGTCTTAGCCTAAACAAGGCAATCTAGGTCACCTACAAAGAGCTACAATATAAGATTCACCAATTCTTTAGAATCACAGAATCATTTAGGTTGGAAAAGACCTTTAAGATCATCAAGTCCAGCCATAAACATAACACTGCTGAGTCCACCACTAAACCATGTCCCTAAGTATCTCATCTACATATATTTTAAATACCTTCAGGGCTTTAAATCCCTCCAGGGATGGTGACTCAACCCCTCCCCTGGGCAGCCTGTTTCAATGCTTGACAACCCTTTCAGTAAAGAAATTTTTCCTGACATCCAACCTAAACCTTCTCTGCTGCAAAACAAGGCAAGGTGTCCTGGTTTTTAGCTGGAACAGA